TTTTTGCAAGGAAGGGATTGTAATCATTGAGATGAAACAAAGTACATAATTTGTTGAATGCAAAGTTGATGATACTGTCTGTAAACCTAGACCCAATTTGCAATAAAAAGTTAAAAAAAAGATTTAATGTTAGCAATGGTCAAATTGTCATATGAAGTAAATATCCTCTGTAACCTTGGACTATGATTACTTGCACTGTAAGCAAAAATGTTACTCACCCTATACAATCTATCCATACCAGTGTTACAAGTAAGATCAAGAAACTTTAATTCATATGTCAGAATATAGTCAGTGTGCAGATCTCAAGATCTTTCATCTGGGGCAATATAATTCCAGTTTCCTTAAAAAGGTTTCGTGTGTTTCCTACACATATTGTCTTAAATTGACATTAAATTGTCTCTCACCAATACACAGAGCCTCCACTGGTTAGGAAATCTTCCAGAAATGGATCAGAGAGAAAAGTTCAGTCTTACTGCCAGAATTATCCTTAAAATCCTAAGACAGATTCCAAAATGTTTTGGAAGCTACAAAATGAGAGGACTTGAAAAAGTTCATGAAAAAAAATTTCACTATCTTTTTTTCTCTTATTTCTATTTGTCCACAGTTTTTAAAGATCCTCATATAAGCACCAGCTGCTCCTTGGAAACCCTATACAGGGTCAATATGGGTCAGAACTGACTCGACAGCACTTAACAACAACAATATATAGCACAATAGCACTGTTCTTGTTAGTGGCCACTCAGTTGACTCTGACTCTGACTGTGTATAATAAATTGAAACATTTCCTGGTCATGCATCATCTTCATGATTGTTGGTATGTTTGAGTCCCTATAGATTGAATCCAAGAGTACTAGAGGTCATGTGCACATGGATCAAACAGAAGCTTCTAAATTTAGAACTGGAATGACTTTCAAAATATGATTTCTATGAGGTGTCCTGTTAATAGCACCTTACAGATAAAATTTTGGGAAATGATGCATTTTAAATTGTTGTTCTTAGGTGCCATCGTGTCGGTACTGATTCATAGTGACCCTATACACAACAGAATGAAACACTGCCTGGTCCTGGGCCAACCTCACATCTCTGCTGTGTTTAAGCCCATTGATGCTGTAACTGTTCTAATCCACTGTGCTTTTCAAATTAGAGCTTGCTATATTACTGTTGTAAAACTCTACATTTATTTTCTCAGGATTCCTGTCTCTAAATAATAAATAACACACTAATGTATACTTACTTGGACGATCCTGAACGTTCTCTACTAAAGTAGAGTTAAGTAGTTCAATAAACACAGATTCTGATTTTTCTGGTTCATCATCATCCAAAATTGAAATAGTTATTGTTGCCTCACTCTGGTTAGCTCTGAAAATGACAAATCCAGAAGTTGGTATATAGTCCCTTCCTTGAGTTGCTCTGGCTAAATTGGGTGGAAAATAAGGTGGTTTTTCCATATCATCCATTGTTGCATACATAACTATGACTTTTCCCATGAAGCCTTTCAATCTTATTATTGACAACGTAATGTTCTGGGTGGTTTCCTCAACTTCAGTAGGTCTATTTTTCTCCGAGAAGATGAATACCCCGTAAGGATCATCACTAGCCAAAACTGTTAATGTGGCATTAGTGTGAACTCCTAATGAGCCACTGGAGACACTAAGGATTGACACATAAAACGCCTTATCCAATTCTGGATCTTCATCCGGTAATATTTCCACTGTGATGGTGGCACTTGTCTGCCCAATCTCAAATGTGATGTTGCCAGAGGTAAGGGTGAGATCACCATCAGGATCAGAGTCTATGTTCCAATGTAAAGTCACCTGAGACAGAGCTCCATGATGTCTCATAACCTATGAAATATTTAATATGAAAAGGTATTAAAAAGAGGAAGAACATAATTGACTTAGAGGTTAAACACATATGTTGTTGCTGTTGTTAAGTGCCATCAAGTCAGTTATGACTCACAATGACCCTGTATACAATTTCCAAGGATGGCTGGTAGGTTTGAACCATTGACCTTATAGATAGCAGTCCAGTGTTTATCCTACAGCACCACACCAGGATTCCTAAATACATATGGTAGTAACATATTACATTTTTATTTTATGTTACATAAGCTGTTCTCAAGGCTAAAATTATTTAATGAATAATCATTAAATTTATTAATGAACTGAACATTTTTAGCTTCTAATTAATTGTACCTTTTCTGCAATTCAAATATAGCTAGTAATTAACAAAGTATTTTTTACATTTAAGCATATTCATGGAAATTTTTACATATACTGAAATAAGGTGTATAACTTATTGTAAGAAAGTGATGAGCATTCCAAGACAGATTTGTCTGTTCTTCTTGCAGTAATCCATGGTGCTTTCAATAGTCTTCACCAACACCATAATTCAAATGCATTAATACTTCTCACGTCTTCCTTATTCATTGTCTAGCTTTCACACGTATATGAGGTAACTGAAAACACCATGGCTTGTATTAGTAGTACCTTTGTCCTTAAAGTGACATCTTTGCTCTTTAACACTTCACATAGGTCTTTTGCACTATATTTGCTATGTAAAATTCCTAATAAAGTTAGACAAAGGAATTTTATAATTCTTGGCCCTTTCCCTTTTTCTTCAGCAATTAGTTATCCTTTCTAAAGCTGTTTCACTTATTCTATAATAGTTTATTAGAAATCTACCAAAAGTACTAAAGGGTTATATTTTGAGTGGTCTTCTTCATTTAAGGAGTCCTGGAGGCATAGTGCATTATGCATTAGGCTGCTGATATATAGGATATAGTTTCGAATCCACCAGTACCTCTGAGGGAAAAAGAGGAGACAGTCTACTTCTGTATAGAGTCACAGGTGCTGAAACCTTATGAAGCAGTCTACCTTGTCCTATAGGGTCCATATGAGTTTGAATCATCTCAACAACAGTAGGGTGGGGTGAGTTCTTCATTAATTATAGGAAACCAAAGAAGCTAGCGATATTTCTACCACCTCTGAGTCGTTTAGCAGTGGGATCTTAGAAGAAAGTAAAGTAAACAAACATACAGAGTTGCTATTACCATTGCTGTTGACAAACATTCTGGATTTTCCTTTCTTCCAAAAGATAAAAAAAGAGAGCTAGAGAATTGCACTTCTATACCTGCAGGCATGGCCATGTGACTTGATGTCATTTACTTCCAGAAACAAACTGTAAGAACCTCTCGCAATTCTCCACATTAATACTTCCACTATTAAGGTAGAATCACTTGTTGAAATGTACCTTTGTGCTCCTTGACCCCTAAGTGATTACTGCTTTAGAGTTTGAAATCTTAAGGCTTTTTGCATATGGACAACTCCAGCCAGGAAGAGCTTAATTCCATCTTGTGCCTAGGTTTAAGTGTTCAGATGCCAATTTTTCTTGAGTATCTCATGCACTTCTGAGGACTAAATTGCCAAACTCAGAAACATAATGCATTTGAAAGTGGGTTTTTAACTATTTCCCCCAGCCAGCAAAGGAAGAACAGAAACTCCCTCAGGGGAGTTTTAATAGCTGCAGGTGAATGGTCGCCTGGTTATGATGCCATTCCCCAAGAGTCTGAGACAGACTAAAAGCTTACCTATTTATAATAGTGCCCCTCCCTGTTTCCCTAGACCCTGCATGCATGTGTGATGCACTGCTGCCATCATCCTGGTTGTGGAAGGAGATCCTTTATTTTCTGTACCTGGAGTAGAACTTTGGATTTTATCATATTGTTATATTGATATTTGCTCTCACTTGGGTGAGCTCTTGTGTGTTTTGACCCCTGTTTAAGACTTAATAAAGAGTCTCTATAATATTTATAGTGCTTACGAATCAGGCTGTGAACCTCAGGGTCAGCAGTTCGAAACTACCAGAGGTTCCGTGGGAGAAAGATGAGGCTTTCTGCTTCCATAAAGATTTACAGCCTCGGAAACCATATGCAGAGTCGCTATGAGTCACAGCACACCACCACCATAATATTTATGTACATGAAGACAGAGTCTCTTTTCTCCCTTAAAACATTGCAATGATCTGAACCACTTGTCAACTTAAATTGCATGAACCACTTGTCAACTTAAATCTACTATGAGAAAAAAACAATTTTTTGCAATATTTAGTCAACGAGATTTTGGAGACATTTGGTACTACAGTCTATAGAAACTAACGGAGTCCTAGTATGGCTCTGTGGAATAAAGCACTGGACTACAAGGTCAGCGGTTCAAACTCACCAGTTGCTCCTTGGAAACCCTAGACAGGGTCACTACGAGTCAGAACTGAGTCAACGCCATTTAACAACAACAACTACGTACCAACTAACTTAAAAATCTATGTAAAATAGACTTGTGGTACATCACCATTACTTTCCTTAAAGGGCCAGGAATCCTCAGTATATTAAGATAAGTCTACGTGCAAAACTAAATACAAAAACATAGGCTAAATCACTATTCGTTGATAATTTGTATTTCTCTTATTCATTTTTACCACACAGGGGTAAAAAAAAAAAAAAAGGGAACATATTTTCATAAAAAGACAGTTCTAAAAGGACAAAAAATGTCCAAGAATGATGGAGGAAACTGTACTCACATTTAATATAACAGTGCTGTTCCCACCTTCTGGTTCAGTTCCGCTGACAAAGAGTGACTCCGAGCTAAACTCAAATACACCATGAGCATGGTCAGAGGCTGCAATTGTCACTAGAATTTGGGAAGCCACTCCTAGGCTGGCTGCATGAACAAGTTCCAACAAATAGCAAGAAAATGTTAATAAGTGATTTACAAACCAAAGGAAAAGCCAAGGAACAACTTTTTCAAAAGAATGATTCCATTCACTGAGTAAGCTCTAATTTGTTTTAGAAAGAAAGGCAGACATAAATGGTTGCCACATATATTCATCCTTTTATGACCTCTATCTACTTTGGCACCAATGTGATATACAAGTACTACATAAGCACTAGGAAATGAATAAGGAAAACTTGTTTCTCTTTTTCTTCTCTGTGAAAGAGAACATTCTTCCACACAGAATGTGGGAGGAAGGTCTCCCACAACCTTTGGTGACCTCAGAACATGAGCCAAAATGACGCTTACCTTTATAAAACAGTAGCTTCTCTATAATTCTAGCCCTATTTTTATCATTACATTATGTCATTACAGATCTACTTCTCATGGTCTTAAATAATAAAATCCTGCAAATAAAAATACATCAGGATCTACAGAAATATCTAATGTTTTCCTAAGAAAAAAGGTCAAGTTTAAATTGTGGTTATACATGCATATAAGAAAATAGACAATTTCAGAATTAATAAGAGTAACTTAATACAGAGGTTAGGAATGAGAAAAGGGACAAAATATGAGTCCTGGCAAAACATGAAAAAAGGAACATTTCAGTTTCATTAGAGTTTTACCTAAAAAGCATTCTAAATATTCTTTCTTATTATAGAAAAATATTTGGGAGTAAAATGATGAATCATGTTGGTCTATGAGTACACTTTAAACTCCCTCCTCTTTTCAATATTCCCACCCATTAACTAACAATTTATTCTTTGCATTCAATTTCTCCTTAATTTTTTCTCTCAGTTTATTTAATTAAATACATGTATGTTAGAATCTGTGGTTCTTTTTGAATAGAAAATAAGCTTGATGTATTAACAATAAAAATATAAATGTACTACTTTACTTTTTAGGGTCCTCAAAGCTAAGTAATGTGTTTTTTAAATATTTGCTTTTATAAATTACATCGAAGTAAAATGTGTACAATTCCTGGCTTAAATAATACATAATGGTATTTTTTAATTAAGTTGTACCTATTCTGGAAACTAAATCAATTAAAATGTGACTGTGAATAATTTTTTATTTTTATTAAAATTAGACCCAGGAAAGGACACTAGGTTCGTGGAAGGAGTAGAGTGTAGGCTTCAGAAGAAGGCAGAGATTTGGTTCTAAGTTGATGCCTTTCTGGGTGATGAGTGTAACAAGGTGCCCATGATATTGAACTCATTGTGATGGTTAAGTGAGATAAAATATGGTTAAGTGAGATAACCATATGACAACAAGAATATGACAACAAATGGTTAGTGTTATTGTCTCTACAGTGAGAAATCGAAATGAAAACGTATCATAGTAAAGGCCTTGGATCAACTGCTTACCACGTTTGTGAATAGTTGGGACGAAGAATTCCAAGTCCCCATCACCACTACCACTGCCATCAACCCTAAAGAGTTCAGCCACTTCATAAGAAGACACATAGAGACATAACCCACACAACACACATTGACACATGAGAAAATTAAGATTTCTTAAAACATGATAACCAAGGAGGAAAATGCAGTAATATCCACCCAAAGTCATACATTCTTCCATAGAAAGCATTATTTTAAATAATAAAATTATAGCACTAGTAAAGTTACCAATTTGTTAAGTGCCATCAAGTCAGTTCCAATTCATAGCAACCTATATAGGGTTTCCAAGGAGTGGCTGGTGGGTTTGAACCACTGACCTTGTGGTTAGCAGTGCAGTGTTTATCCTACAGCACCA